GAGTGCTTTAAGTTTTTCTTGTTCCTGATGTCCGCTAAAGGCTTACTACCTGATTTCTGTAGGTTCATGTTTACAACCTTCTAAGCTACTCTTCTTTCTGCAGTTCAGACTTTGTGCCCATTCATTCCCTTTCCTTGCAGGTTTTCTTGGATTGCTTTCTAGATGGCTGTTTCTAACTTTGTCTTTAACCCACCCTGCTGTTACACTATGTTCTTTCTCAGCCTTGCTTTGATCTTACAATGGGAATCAAGGGTCATTAGACACACTGCTGTGGTTATTCTATTTGTTTTACAGAGAATATGTTTTAAAGTGTTTTGCTTTTGTGCCAGGAGGTGTAATTGCTGCCCACTTTCTCATTCTTTGTGAGAATTTCAAAGCAAATATGTTCATAAACTGAAATACATTAGGTATGAATGCTGTTTAGCACTATAGGTTATGATATTGAAGTGTGGTAATACTGTCTTTTGCAACTGAATTTCTGGTACTAAACTGCATACTTCAGTGGCAAATTGTCCTCTGAACAGCTATGCACTGTTTAGCTTGCTTTTTATATTAGTGTGGAGCTGTCTTGTGTAAGTACATAGATACATTCATTTTGAATATAGCTGGGAGAATTCAAAATAAGAATATAACTGAATTTTTTGACCAGGGAGTGTTTTAAATGTGTGAATATTCAGCTGTTGAAGTGGAGTTACTAGAAAATAATTCATCCTTTTTATTTTGGCTGGGGAGATCAGTATCTAATTTGTAGCTATTTCAGGTAATGAAGATCTAATTTGTTAACACACCATGGGTTGTTATAGAGTATAAGAATTGTCAGGAATGTACTTCTACTTGATATAAAATTGCTCTTGTAACTTCATGGCAAACTGTAGATTTCAGCTGATCTTTGTGCTTTTGCTGGACAATTATGACCTCTTGAGTTTTTCAGAGATTGGTGTCTTTGAATAAACATTAACTAGTTTGGACTTGTTCATGTAATTCAGCATGCCAAAGCAATTGATTACTGGGATGTACAGTCATATTAGGCATGTGGGTATATGCACGTTGTGGCTATTATCTACATATTATGTAAAAGTGTGTGTGTGTGTATATATATATAGAGAGAGAGAGTTCTGGCCTAGATAGAAGTGCAGGCAGTATGCATAAATAAGGAAGGCTACTGTGATAAGTAAGGGTGAAAGTGATATAATTTCTATCTCAATTCTTAACTGTTCTGCTGCCATAGCAGGCTCCCTTTTCCTTTGTCTGATATTTGCCTTCTCATTAGGAGGAGAGGCAGCTGTTAAAAGAGGATGTTATGAAAATTACTGTGTCCTTATGCAGTTTTCTGACTTGTTTCTCTTCCAGTCAAACAAGGACTACCACTTGATATCTTTTGCTTGCTTTTCACTTGAGTATGTAGTTACACTCTTGAAGGTATAGTGGTTGTATGTGCTGTAAATGAGTACAGGGTCTGGCAGGAATTGTATCTGTAGTACAAGTTTAAATTGTCCAATAGTCAATGAACGTGAGGAGGTGTTTCTCTTGTATTCTGAAATGATTTTTGGTTACCCAGGAATTCTTGATGGCATTTGGGAGAAGGTGTGGTGTCTTGTTTGGTTTTTTTTTTTTGGGGGGTGGGGTGTTGGTTGTGGGTTTGTTGGTTTTTTTTTTTGTGTTTTTTGTTGTTTTTTTGGGGGGGTGGGGTGGTATAAGTGAAACTTTACCTGCAAATTGTTCAAAACACTGAAATGTTGCTAGCTTATGTGCAAAGAATGCTCCAGCACAATTCGTGAATGTTACAACTCGATGTTGAGGTCTTACTAAGATGATTATAGAATCATAAAATGGTTTGGGTTGGAAGGGACTTAAAGCTCATCTAGTCTAGCCTCTCTTCAGAAGGAAAAGAGAAGGGCTCACACAACCTGTAGCAATCAGTAAAATAATTGTTAATGCGAGGAAGTGGAATGGGTAAACCTTCAGGGCAGCCAGGCATGGAGGCTGAGCCTCCATGGGACAAAGTACCATGTACCTCCACAGGTACAGAGTCTGTGCAGATTGGTGAGTGCTGGCTGGGTGTTCCTGTGATGCTGTGTTTATGGTGTTATGGAAAAGAGCCCTGGCGTGATGCAGTGTTGCCAAGGGAGCTATGCTGTAGATAGATCCATTATTTCTTCTTGGTCTTTGGGTGGATCCACCTCCATGGGCTACACACCATCAGCTGTATGAGCAGTGGCCATCTTTACCATGGTGTACTCCCTCTGATGCTGCCTTCTCTTTGTGTCTCCTGCAACTACCCATCTGCCTTCCCCATGCAGAAGTGAGCAGCCACTCTGCTGCTTTGGGAACTTTTTGTTCCAATCATCCTTGAATCTGAGGGCCTTGAAGTTCAGGAGCTTGACCAGCTGTCAGGGCCAATGTATTTATAGGGCCTGGAACAAAAGGCAGCAAGGTAGCTTGTGACATCTGTGGGCCACTGTGGTGGCAATGTATGTGGACAAATATGACTGTTCTGGGAGTTGAGGGGGGCAGTGGTCTAAAAGATGCTCTTATGGGAGGAGGAGGAGGTTCAGGTGGGCTGAGGGCCCCTTTCCTGAGGATTGCTCCACTTTGCCATCTTGCTGCCCCTTGGGCACAGGGACTGGCCTCCGCCTCCCCTCTTGGTGCCGGCAGTTGTAGGCAGCAGGCTTAGTGGGTGATGCTCTGGCTGAGTGAAATATAGTTTGAAAAGTAGCCACTCAAGTGTCTTGTCTTTCCAGTGGGGTGACTGGTAATTCTGTTTAGCTCTAAAATTTTTTGACATGCACTTGTGCTTAGCTTTGCTTTGAACAGGTGGTCTGCTTCCAGTGTAAGCATAAGCACTTTATAAATGATTATGATGCCTAATTACTGTCTGTTGCTTGGAGAAAGGAGGGGAAAAAAAATAGAACTGGGAACTGATTAAATGTACCTCAAAGCTAACTGGTTGAGGTCATATGAAGCTGAAGCTGGCAGAAGGGCATGTGTAGCATTTTAAAGAAATTTAACGCATTTAAAGGTCTTAAAAAGATGGGTAAATTCTTTTAATGATAAAAGAGTAATAATTTATCTTCGACGTTACTTTGTCCTTCCCCAAACCTACCTGCCTCTGGTTTTTAGAATGCAGTGGATTTTTTGCATCAGAGTTCCTTTTATCATCAAGAAATGTAAGACCTTCTTCAAAGCCTGTAGTGGCACCAAGAACTTTCTTGGTAGTTGCTTTCCTTGCAGCCAACTACTAAGTTGTCTTTTGTTAGTTGCTACACAGGAGCTGTAAATCTGTTTTGCTGAAGTAAGGCTGAATAATTTAGGATGTATTTTAGTCATGGGAAAGTTTGCTGTTGCAAAAGTAACTTGATTTTTCATCTGTGCGCTTGAACCCTCTAGTAAGAAAATAGGGTGCTACATGAAAAAATTGACAGTTACGTTAGGGTTTGTTTTTTTAACAGTCCTTGTAATTTTCTATGTAGTATTTCTCAGACTTTGGTATATTGCAGAATCTTCAGCTTGACACTTACATGCTTTTTCTTACAGAAGTTTCTCTTGCTGAAAAATGAAACTAGGTATTGCTGTAAAACCTGTGAAGTTCCTACTGGAAGCTCTATATGCTTTTAACATCCAGTTGTCATCTAAAACCAGCCTTCATCTGACTAGCAGAGGTTCCTTGGTTGTCTTTCTGCAGTGGTCTAGATCCCTGTATCTGCTTGTAGCTACCAATACCCACCTGTTATGTAGAGTTATGAGGCACCAAGTTGTAAGTAACTCCATGGCAGAGTGTTTCTTGTGTTTGTTTTATGTGACGATGATGCTTAAAGGTTAAATGAGCAGCTAACTTGAATAGGTTTCTTACTTGCTTAAGGGACTTCTGGATGCTTTAAAGTAATGAGTCTGTTTTGTAAAAAGTTCAGTATGGGAGATGTTGTCCACAATGCTTGTCTGACTGGAATTCGTAGCTTCATCCTGTAGCTTGAAAGCAGAAATGTCTGTGTTTAGGAAAGGTGTTTGATAGCTGTGTTGACTGGAAGTTACAGAAACTTATTGAGACAGTTGTTACCACTTGTTTTGATGGAGATGTCAGTTAAGCTTTCAGCCTCTAGAAAGAGCCACAGACTTAATTACTGTTAAACAAAATACTGTGTGGTTTTCTTCAGTTGTAGTAGGCAGAAGGCTTCTTATTTTTTCTGGTCTGAAAGAATTGCTTCTAAGCTTTATTTCTTCCCTTTAGTAAACAATTCAAGTGAGAATTTCAGTTACCTCTATCTCAGAGCAGTTGACAGGCTTTCTGCATTTTGGTGGGGTGCTTTCTTCTTTTCAGATTTAAGTCAGGTGTTTACCATGTGGAATGTTATTTCAGCATTCATTCAAATCTGCTAACAGTATTAACCAGGGAAACAAAGCAGTATTTTTAAGATCTTGAATTGACATAACTTCTGCATCAGCAAGTTGACGTGAACATTCAGAAGTGGTGTTTCCGTGAATTAGAAGTCTGTTAGTCTTGCTCTCTGGAAGTTTTCAGAGATTAGGAAAAGCTAACTCAAGTTACAAAAGACAAATATCTGCAGCATCTTTACTGTCTTTTTCTTTCTACACTTGAGAGTTTTTAGTATTATCCTGGATTACTTTTCTTCTAGAAGTATCTAATCTTGAGCATATCTAATATTTAGCAGTTTCTTACATCTTTAGTTGAAACCAAACATGATTTTTCTGTTCATATTGGTAGTGGAGGTGAACATTGGCAGTACCACAACCCAGCTGATTTGTGGAGTTTATCTTTGCAGATAGTGAAATTTAGGAGGAGCATCCGTGATTTGTGGACATCAGGCGTAACTGTGACTATGTTAATGGGACTGAAATTTGAAAAACATGAAGATAATTAAGAATTTCAGAATTGGTAGGTTTGGGGAGGGAGGGTAGAAAAGTAGGCTGTGGGAAGAATAACAACTTTGTATTTTAAATTTCCATTCAGAACTATGCTAGACCAATTCTAGATAACGCCTAAGAAAATTCTGTTTTCGCCAGGGTTCCTGGACTTCATCTTTGGTGCATTTTATGTTGTTTATCTTTCCTTATTTCAAAGGACCTGGGCTCCTGTTGAAAAGTGACGGAATAATCTCTGGCCGGCACCTGCCATGTTGAGGGAGCACCCCTAAAAGAGCTTGCCTGCGAGACAGTTTGTGAAATAACGCAGTAACATGTTCGCAGTAGTATGCCTTTTTTTTTTTTTTTTTTTTGCTATTTTCCATTGTTGAATTTCTCTTGAAATAAGTAACTGAGAAATACATGGAAGCTACTGAAATGAGCTTTGTTCACTGCAGAGGGATTTACACCTGGAATTAGCGTTGATGGTTGTTACTTGCAAAGATGTTACTTTTATTAATTGTGGCAAGGGAAATGATTTGATCCACTTTCTAGAGCCTTAAAAAAGGCAAACCAAACAAAACTTAGCCCATGGCTAATAATGCAGTAATTTCACTTGCTTACAGTAAATCTGTGTAGGCTGAATACCCACCCACAAGCTAGTGTGTTTAACAACTTTGTATATTTTGATTTAAGCTAATTCATGAGATCAGATGTTTTGAACCCTACTTGTAGATTTACTAATTCTTTTATTAGAAAACAATTTTTCTGTTTTTTAACCACTTAATCCTTGCATGGAATCTCAGATGATTATATATGATTGATACTGCAATTGAAATTAGCTGTACCTTTTCCTGATTTGTTTGACTCCCTTATCTTTAAACAGAAAGCTATGTAATCTAGGGGCAGTTATGTATACTTACGCCTTACGCTAAGCAAAGCAAGATGGCATTAAGTGATCAGTGTATAATGGTTAAAGCAGCAGTGAAAATCCTGAAAGCAATTAGAACTTCTCTATAGTGAATATACCAGGCTTTTCAATGTTTGGCCAAATCCTGGCAGTCTTGCTGCTGAAGATAATCATAAGGGGTTTGCTGGATGCTTGGACTTTTACCTGTTTTCTGAACTGCTCAAGGTACTAAATTTGACACTTCACTGTTTTAAATAGCTTTAGTGTGGATGCTGAATCCACTTTTAACTTGGAAATAAATGCTTAAATCTGTTTTTATCTTAATTTGCATAAGAAGTAGATAGTTGGGTTTTGGTTTTGTTTTTTTTTTTTTTTGGGGGGGGTGTCAGTAGGTTTTTATAAGAATGTACAGCAAAAGCATTTAAGCTTGCTGCCTCGTACCCCCTGCAGCTTGCAGATGTGTTCTTGCTAAAATACTACTATTCATCTATGTTCTTTGCATTAACCATGTCCCCACAGCTGATGTGGCTAATCCACAGTAGTAACTAATGTATTGAATTGGAAGGCAGTTACTAAAGGAGCAAAGGGAATGTTTCCTTATGAATACTGCTTAAAAAACAATTACTGGTTCCAATTGTAAGGAAAGAAAAGTTTCTGTTGCAGCACTCTAGTATCTGTAGTATCTTTTAGTCCATGTTCTGCATTCATGTAAGACCAGCTGATACTGTGTCAGAGGTTAAATGTCATATCCAAGACCTGTTTTGGAGAGGAGGGGGTGGAGCAAACGCTTGTATTAAGCTTAATGTGAAGTGAAAGCAGGCACTATCGTAGGCTGAAATACTCTTCCCTGATAGCACGGTTGTCTCGGTAGCAACTGCTTGCGAAGTGTCTTAGAGCAACAGAATTAATATATGCCAAAGCCTTTTTAAAGGAAAGGTGAAGTTGCTCATCCTTACCCATTTCTGTTACGGTCTTTTGCAGTGTTTGTGTTTGGGGCCACTGCCCTTTTGCATGTTTGCATAAGATATTTTATTGTCAAGTGTTATTCCTCCTGTGTCAAGTTTGTGGAGGGAGGGGCAGTGAGTGAGGAGGTACTGTGTTGAAATTAGCTCCAGCACTTTGATGTGTACTGCCAGCAAGTTAAAATAAGTTATAATTCCTTCACCTTCATAGGTGTGGCCTTCAGTGGTAGGGATAGTACTCAAGTGCATTTATGCAGTGCTCATTTTATCTTTCCCAGCTCTGTTAATAATGAGCACGTGGTTCTGAACCTGAAACCTGGTCCACAGATGAAAAACAGAGTTACCCTTATTTCTTTAATGCAGAGTAGCATGTTCCTTTCATGTAAGTAAAACCCTGGAGCTGTCTATATTTGGATGTTAGAATATTGGCTGTTGCTGAAGGTACAAAAATTACTACAGAGTATTCAGTCATCTTTAATCAAGCCTGATTTTGTAACTTTTGATTGTCAGCATCTACTGTCGTGTCTCCTTTGAGTTCTAAAGTTTCTATGCATGCAGGTAACTTTGGGGTTAGAAGCTATAAAATACTAGTATAAAGTGTTACATACAAATACTGCTTAAATAGATTTGTGAACTTAATGCTTTGTGTATATTCTTCTTATCCAGACCAGCATGTTTTGGAAATTTGACCTCCATTCGTCATCCCACATAGATACACTTCTAGAGAGAGAAGATGTAACACTGAAGGAATTGATGGATGAAGAGGATGTTCTGCAAGAGTGCAAGGCTCAGAATCGCAAACTTATAGATTTTCTGCTGAAGTTAGAATGTTTGGAAGACTTAGTTTCATTTATTATCGAAGAGCCACCTCAAGACATGGATGAACAAATTCGATATAAGTAGGAAAATTTTTGGGGTGGGAGAGACTTGGGAAGGTGGAAAGAGGGGTATCTTACTCTGGTTAATTTGATAGTGTGTTTTGCATTCGTATTTGCTAGTACAATACTGTTATCTTTAGAGCAATTTTTTTTTTTCAGGAGGCTTTGTAGAACTTAAAAATCAGTCTAGTATTTGCATTTTTTTTTTCAAATGGAAGCCTCTTATCCACAAATGCATCCAAAACCAATTGCTGACCAAAGGAGGTTTAAACAAAAAATTAAAAAAATAAATAAAATCGGAGCTCTCATGAAGAATCTTGTCGTTGTGGTGATTAAGGAAACAGTTGAATGAAAATCCCTGTTTGGTAGTATAGTTAAGTGCTTGGCTTTATTTTATTGATGATTGGAAAGATGTTTTGAAGATGCTTATGGAAGAATGTACTTAACATGTGATTACTAATGTTTTCCTTTGCAGAGGAATTGTAGGAACTCCTTTCTAGGAGTTAATTAGCTATGGCCATGACTTCAGCTATTTTGCTGGGAAGGTTCAAACTTGAAAGTCAACCCAGCAGTTCGTATAAAAGAATTTAGACTGTTTTGGGACTATTTTAGAGTTGTCTATGCAGACAGTAGCTTTTTTTCTTAAAACAGTATGGGAGAAAAAAAATAATAAGCTACACTGTTAGTTGCAGCACTTTGCCATTTCTGGTAAACCAAGCCTCCTGTAAGTGTTTCTAGTAGCATTTGAAACTTAAGCTGCTTTCATTTAAAAACCTTAGGCTGTCAGTCAAAATCGTCTTTAGTCTGAGTAGGTGATAGTACATCAAATGCAGGAAATTACTGGTCTTGATGGCCTCTTAGTTGAATTTCTCAACATTCTGGACTCTGCTTCTGCTTCAGTGTCATGAAGCAGTACTAGCTAGTTTTGCAGGTTTTGTCAGACTGACTAGTTTACTGAGCTTCTACATAACTGCAATATGTATATATATATTTTAATATCCTGAAACGACTCCTTTTGGCCATTTTAATATAATCCCTGTTGTATCAGAGAGAGGCAAACACACTTTTTCCCCAGTATTCGTCCAGTACTTCAGTCTGGTCAACTTCTTGGTAATTAACTTTTTCCTATAAAAAAAAAAAGTTGCTTCTGCAAGGAGAAGACTTGAACTGATAGGCTTAATGATAGAACAGAAGACTTTAATAGTAGATCTTAAGATGAAAGCTTGCCCTTTCCTTTCCCCACTTCCCTAGTGTTGTCCTGTTGCTACTGAAGATCAGAGTAGTCCATTTCTTAAGTGAAAGAACAGAGTTTATATGCTGAATGTACAGTTACGTTACAGTGCAGTAGTTTGCGGCTTTAATTAGTGCAGACAAATCCTGCTTGAAAACTTGCTCAGAAGCTTTACCAGATTCTGAATTCAGAGCTGGGAGTATGACAACTTTGAAGTATGACTAGCAGTATGATTTTGTTGTATTTTTGTTTTTTTCCCCCCCCTGCCAGATATCCAAACATATCTTGTGAGCTGCTTACATCAGATGTCTCACAGATCAATGATAGGCTGGGAGAAGAAGAATCCTTACTTATGAAACTGTACAGCTTCCTCCTGAATGAATCTCCTCTAAACCCTTTACTGGCCAGTTTCTTCAGCAAGGTGCTAAGTATTCTAATAAGCAGAAAACCAGAAGAGGTAAATATTTGCAACCTCTCCAGTTTAACGAGTGCTCTAATAAAGTTGTATTTGGCAATGCTGCTTCAAGACTACCTGTTTGAGGATAGCAGCAAAGTCAAAAGAGGGCATTCAACTTCTATACTAGCTGAAGATGCTAACCATTTTTAATGGTATGCACAGGATTAAAAAAACGTATTTCGATAAATGCAGATCAAATACATCATACTTGCCTGAGCTATGTGTGCGATCAGTGTAAGAGTGCTTACCTTTTGGCTTAGCTTAGCTCAATATTTTATATGATGGTACTTGTATTAATTGTTAAAGGGTACTTGTATTAATTGTTAAAGGTGAAGGTAAGTGATTTGAATTGGTAGGAATGCATCCAACTTGATGTGAAGAGTTGGTCTAGAACAAGTTAAGAGATGTTTGGAGTCCTTGTTCATAAATGTTGCTGCACTGTTCATGTGTCCCAGTACTGCAAACAGCTGCAGTGACAGGCTGTCAGACCTCAGCAAATTAAGTCTGTGACTGTTCTGTAAACTAGCAAGCTCTCTATTTCTTCGCATTATGTTAAGGTCTTGCTGTGTCAAGCTTTGCTCACTAAGAAGGAATGAGAGTAATTTATACCAAAAAGGAGACCTGACAGTGCATTGGATTATAAGTAGCTTATGGTCAGCCAGTTAGGCTTGACAGGAGGCCCAAGACACACCACACATTGTCTGGATCTGTCATGTGCCACTTTTGCTACTTTATACATGTATATTAGTTTATCTTGCCTTGTACTGCAAGCTTTAAGTAATGAAAGTGTCTTAAGAACTTCTTACTTATTTTCTCCATTTGCTAGGAGAGAGAAGCTAAATCTGATTGGTGTAATTTACCATGTGAAATACAGATAAGTAAATACAAGCTTAATTCTTTTTGATTTCTAGATTGTGGATTTTTTAAAGAAGAAACATGATTTTGTAGACCTCATTATTAAGCACATAGGGACCTCTGCTATCATGGACTTGCTGCTCAGGCTACTGACTTGCATAGAACCTCCGCAGCCTCGACAAGAAGTGTTAAATGTAAGTGAAGTGTCTCAAAAGATTTTCATCTGACATTTGTGAACTGTAAAATGGCTTATATTCTGCTGGGTTTACCAAGTTTAGTTCTTCAGTGTGCTGAAGTTCAGTGTGTGGGTTTTGGTTTGGTTTTGTGGGGTTTTGGGCCGCTTTTGTTTGCTGCTTGTTTCATGGCGCTGCTAGTACCTTTCCAACACAGCCTGTGCTGGTGGAGATGACTTAGAAACTGAGAGGCTGATCTGTTCCCCTGGGTTTTAACATCTAACTTACAACTGCCAGATGCAGTTTTTAAAAAGTTCTAGACTTCAGTGAACATCTTTTTATATTTTTGGCTGTTTATTTAAAAATAAGGCTTTATTTTATGTAATTGCTCAGAAACACTGACTTTTACCTTTTATTTCTGAAGTATTGTTAGTCCTTGTTTAGTAATATTGACAGTATGACATCACAATTGTCAAATGACTACTTTTAATTTTGTTAATTCACTCACACGGATAAAATTCTCACTAAGATTCACAAATGCTTTTACAGTGGCTAAATGAGGAGCGAATCATCCAGCGGCTTGTGGAAATTGTACATCCATCTCAAGATGAAGATGTAAGTATTGGTCTGAAGCTCTTTTGGGTCTGTCTGTTCAGCAAGTTGCTGTACAACATAGTACTAGAATTTTTTGGGTTTACTGTTTTCAGCCCTTTTCAGTAAGCTGTGCCCCCCCTTCCCCCTTTTTGGTCCCACTTCAATCCACGTCAAAGCCTTATACGTATTCTATGTTTTGCCACCTTAATATGCAAAATATTCTTGCCTCATGCTTCAAGTTTGTCTTGTTAAGGTTTTGTTACAGCATAAAGCTATTGTTTGAATGTTTATTGTGTAGGAGTGATTTGTCTGAGGTGAAACTTCCACCTTTTCTAGTTGGAAGAGTTACAGTGCAGCCTGTTGTTACTCTTACAGTGAAAAGCTTTATTTTTCTGTTCCAGAGGCATTCAAATGCATCACAGTCACTGTGTGAAATTAT